TTATAAAAGAATCCTTGCAAGCTTATTATAATATATTCCTTCTCTTTGTGTAAATCATTTCGCCACAAGTGGCGTTTTATAGCTTTTCATATTTCCTTTGGAATCATCTTTGTCTTGTAGACCCATTATAGCCTACTGTTTTGGCTCAATTAGAAATTTCTTCTTAGTCACCAGAAATATCTGATTTTCTTATTCTTTGAGACCTTCTAGGGCCTCGTGGCACTTCTTTCATATGGGGCTATTGTTACTCTTCATTGCCAAAAGGCAATTGTTCTATAGCCTCCTGTATCACAAGATCCTTGTTTACTTATTCATCCTCTTTAAGAGCTAACGTCTGGTGTTGTATATGTCATACAACATCAACATGTATTAAGCAATTTGTTGCTCTAAACACTGTAGTGGATATGTAATCCCACTTCTATTCAAGCTTTAGGTATCTACATACCATGCTCCCCAGTTACTCCATCTTCGGGTAAAGATGGTGTATCTTCAAATTTCTTATTTTGGGTTTAATCTGCTAAAAACTCATATGGCGTCATCCAAATTATAAATACTAGTGACTATGCTATCTTCCTATCGAAGCGTAAAATGTCCAGGAATTTAGCTATTTCTTTACTTTAGGGGTATCATAATTATGACCGTCTTACTCCCTCAACGATCACATTCATCTTTTATAGATCACTTTTACCTTCAATGCATAGTGTGCATTGCTTATCTGAAGTATGGAGAAGTATCTTTCTTAATCTTACATTTTTCTCCCCTCGAAATGTGGTATTAACTTTTCTACCACAATTTGAAACATTCGTAACTCTTGTGAATGAGGAAACTTTGATTACTTACTTCATCCACATGATTACTGACATGCAAACAAAATTCGTATGGGAGTACATTTTCCTCATTACACTTCAAAAACTCAACATAGTCTATTATTATCAATACTTACGCAAGTCATGCTTGCATATCATTCTTATCTTTTGATTCACATGTAACTTTCTTTTGTTCTTAAACTCATTGAGTACTTAATGACCATGACACAATCAGAGTGTATGGTCAATACTAGGATAGCATAAAAGCTATCTCAAACTTCTCTCCATGTGCGAGAGATATACTTAGAGCACATGAGTCATCACATCATCCTTCTCCGCCATGCGGGATAAGTACTATGCCAAACTCTCCCATCATGCAAGATTGGTTAACATATGTACTATGCCAACTTTACCCCGCCATGCGGGTATTTTCTCAAACTTTTCCCGCCATGTGGGTACTATCATAAACTTTTTCCCGCCATGCGAGATATTCCTTTGAACGGACATAATTGCCAGGATTGGCTCGTGTTCAATCATCAAATTCAGAAATAAATCCGAATATTCTTTTAACACACATGTTTAATCCAATGTTAGTCAAATTAAACATGTATATGACTTTTACAACTCTCATAAGTGAAACTGAAAATAAATTCTTCTCCACAGAGAGTACATAAAAGACATTTCTCAATGAAGACTCCCATTGATCTATCTCTTTTCTTGGATCAATATCCTAGAATTCTTTTCTTTAAAGCCATTTTTTAAAAGAGAACATAGTCCCTTAACCAATGACATTCTTTCATACATAACTTGCCCTTAGACATTTCATCATCTGAGTCACAAGTACCCAGCTCATTTCTCTTTCTGCCTTCAAGAATGAAAGCATGGAGGTCTTTTGTCTGAAAAAATATTCAACAATAATGCTCATTAAACTTTGAAAACTTTATGTTCTATTCTATATCACCGTTGGGCAGAAATAGAATAAAACATCATTCTTCTACATTAATTCCACATCACCGTTGGGCAGAAATGGAATTAACGTATAGAAATTCAATAAACTTAAAAACATAAAACTGCTCCTCAAAATTAAATTCTCCCGTTGGTTCGAATTTAATTAGAAGACAATCAACTTCATTGCAGCGGAAACATGAAAAATACATTTCTCTAGTTTAAGAGCATTCCTTGATCTTTATATATTCTCTGAAAATTGGTCACTTTGATGCAAAATTCATCAGAGATTTAAACTTTAATCATAAAACTCACTATAATATTGTTATCATCAACGTTGGTCAGAAAATAACAATACCATAATTTTAACTTTAAACTTAAACTCATAAATAAACTTATAATATTGTTATTATCAACGTTGGTCAGAAAATAACAATATTATAATTTATCTTAACTATCAACCGACTATTCCTCCAATTAAAATTTTTTCCAGTTTATTCCAATTTTAACTGGAGGATAAACTTTTCATCATTTACTGAATAACTATAACTTCTCTTCAAATTAGAGGACAATAAACCTTTAACTTTGCAGCGGAAACCTGACAAAATTTCTTTATGTACTTTTCAGAAGCATTTTTCTATACTTTTCTACTCTTTGAAAATTCTAACACGTTGGTGCAAAAATTATCAGAGACTTTAAATCACTCTTTGAATGAAATCATCGAAATCTGCTTCTGAAAAAAATGAAACAATTCTCAATCACCACTGTGCATTACCAGGCTCATTCTTTTCTTTTCTCGGCCCAAGACAGCAGAAGCTGGCTCGGCCCAACTCATCATTCAGCCCGGCCCCTCTCCCTCGCGCGCACGCACTGCCTGCCCAGGCCGCAACGTGGGCCTGGGCCGGCAAAGTGCCATGGCAGCGCGCCCCGCCTGGGCCGCTGAGTGGCCCGGTCATTCCACGCCGTCGGATCAAATCCGACGGCCGTCCGGCCGTTTCGCCTGATGAAAACCCCGCCGCGGCCGGCCTTTCCCCTAAACCCTAGTTCATTTCTTTTCCTCCCTTTCTCTCTCATCCGCGCGATAACGGCCGCTCGGCGGCCCAGAGAGAGGAGGAAGTGGAGGTGGGCGGCGCCGCCGGACCCCTCTCGCCGGCCAGCGTGCGGCTAGAGCGCTGCAGCTGCACCGTCGAGGGAGCCACGGTGGTGCCTTTTGCGATCGAGCCAGCAGCGGTGCGTTGTTGCTCGGCCGTCTTCCCGCACGCTTGGCGAAGTCTTTTTCCAGACGGTGGCGATCTTGCGTGGCGGGATGAAGGCCCAGGTAGGACCCTGTGTTCGTTCTCATCTTTGCTGGGATTTGGGGATTCTAGGGTTAGGATTTGGGGATTCTAGGGTTAGGGTTAGGGTTCGAATACTTTTCGAAATCGAAAACTCCTTCTTTCCCCGTTTCTTCACTCGATTAGGGTTTAGGGTTCGATGAACCCTTTGTATTTCTTTTCTTTCGATCCGAATCGGATCTAGCTCCGTTCTTTTCTTTGCTGTTATCTTGATTCTCTTCCCGCGCCGTCGCTAGCCGATGATGGGTACTCCATCCCGCGTGAGGCGGTAGTGACGGCGGCGGGGAGGCCCTAGTAAGACTTCCCCCCGAACCGCCGTCCATTTCTTTTCCCTTCTGTTAGGGTTAGGGTTATGGGTACCCCTCCCCTTTCTCTCTATTCTTTGCTAGGATTAGGGTTTCTACTTCTTCCGATTTAAAAACCGTTCATCTTCCCCACGCGGTTCTTCGTTCTCTGTCTAGATCCGAACGGATCTAGTCTATCTTTTCTTTTCTAATCGGTTTCTAGCCCCTGACAAGATCCACGCCTAGGTAAACCTGCTCTGGTACCATTGTTATATTCTTTGGATCGTCTAGGTGTGGATCCAGTGGGTTAGTTCTTTCCTGTTGAATCATGAGTTTGCTTCGGGGTAGGAGACAGAGAGAGAGAGAGAGAGAGAGAGAGAGAGAGAGATGTAGGAGCATCTGACCGTTGGAGGAGCTCCCTGCCTTCACTGGTTCGTCGATGAAGATCTGCGCTAGGCAACGACGTTTGGTGTAGGTGTAAAGACCGGCGGTGGTGGTGGAGGCAGTGGTGCTTCCCGCCGCTGGCAGTGCCACCCTCTGGATCGGATTAGGGTTAGGACAGTGGGCTGTGGTGGCGGCGAACCTCGTGTCGTGTGCCGTTTGCCCCACCTCCTCTTTATAGGCACTGTGCGATGGGGGCCCACTAGCCACGAGATGGCTGGACGTTCCCGATCAGGACGCGGTCAAGGGGTCCGTCTCGACCGTTGGGTCAAGACGGATGAGATCAATTCTAACAAAAGGGTGTATTTGATGCACCCAACTAAAATTTAATCTAAAATTTCAAAGTAAAACTTTTTTTTTAAAGAAACTGTGGAACCACGCTCCCCAGCAGAACTATATTAAAAACAGCGAATAAAAAAAGGAGTTACAGGGGGTTGTTAGACAAACCTTAAAAAACAGCACTACCTATTACAAAGAATTTAGCGACTGGGAAATTACATGCTGAAATTTGGGTTTGAAGCGGCAGAAATGAAGCTTAACTTCATTTACAAAACGTTGCTTCCAGGCAGCTGGCGATGGAGGTTTCCCATTGAAAATGAAATAATTTCTTTCCTTCCATATGCACGAGGTAGCAATCATAAAGAGGTCCATGAAGCACGGGATGTTGAGCTGAGCTTTCTTCTGTATAAGCATTTGGAAAATACTACCCTGGACAGACCATTGGATGCCAATCATAAACCATCTAGTAGTAGCCGTGGAGCACTAAAAAACACAGATGCATAACGGTTTCATCAACATTATCATGGCAAAGTGGACAGGAGTAGCCTTCTTCTAGGAATTTCCAGCTTCTTTCAAAGTAAAACTTTAGCTAGCTAAAAGTTTTCTAGCTAAATTTTAGCTAGGGTGTATAAATGCTCTAACTAATAAACTCAACTAAATTTTAGCTGGCTTTAACTAGGTTGAAATAGCTAAACCTAACTCAACTAAATTTAGCCAGCTAAAGTTTACCTGGTGCATCAAACACGTCCACTGTTGTATCTTGACACTCCTGCTATTTCAGTTTGCCCATTTGCTAGATGCTGCAGCCCATACACATTCAGCCACTTTGACAGCATTCCACGTAAATAAACGCAACGTAGCGCACGCCTACCTCACAAGCTCTCCGCCCACGCAGAGTCCGCAGAGTAACGATGGGGTCATCGCACGTCGCCGTGGTGGCTTTTCCCTTCGCCTCCCACGCCCCGAAGCTCCTCATGGTCGCGCGCGCCCTCGCCACCGCGGCGCCGACCGCGACCTTCTCCTTCATCTCCACCGCCGACTCTCTGGCGCGGCTTGGTATCGCGGCGGTCCCGGGGAACCTGCGCTTTGTGGAGGTGCCGGCTGCAGGAGGCGACGATCAGGGAACCATGCCGTGGCGCCGGATGGAGCTGTTTGTCGAGGCCGCGGAGGCTGGTGGCCTCAGGCAGGCGTTAGAAATGGCACGCGCCGCGGCTGGGGGCGCCATGGTGAGCTGCGTCGTCGGGGACGCCTTCATGTCCATGGCCGCAGAGGCCGGGGTGCCCTGGGTCGCAGTCTGGACGGGCGGCCCGTGCGCGCTCCTGGCACACCTCATCGGCGACGCGATCCGCGAGGACATCGGTGACCAGGGTACGACCGATTCTGTTGAAATTATTCGGCTCGAGACCTCGAGTTGCACGCGCTGCACTTTGCACAGTGACACGCTAATACTGTTGCGCCGCATGCAAATGCACTTGCAGCCGCGAACAGGGCCGACGAGCTTCTGACCTCCCACCCAGGCCTCGGGAGCTACCGCGTCCGCGACCTCCCCTTCGGCGGCGTCGGCGCCAGCGGCGACACGCACCGTGTCATGAGCCTCCTCCTCAGCCGCCTGGCGCAGCGCCTGCCCCGCGCCGCCACCGCCGTCGCGCTCAATGCCTTCCCGGGCCTCTTCCCGCAGGACGTGTCCGCGGCCCTCGCCGACGCGCTCCCCAACTCCCTCCCCATCGGCCCCTACCACCTCCTCCCGGGGGCCGCCGCGCCAGCCGACGACCCCCACGGCTGCCTTGCCTGGCTCGCTCAGCGCCCCGCGGGCACCGTGGCGTACGTCAGCTTCGGCACGGTCGCGGCGCTGCCACCGGACGAGCTTCGTGAGCTGGCCTCCGGGCTCGAGGCCAGCGGCGCGCCCTTCCTGTGGTCGCTTCGGGAGGACGCGTGGGCGCTGCTCCCGCCGGGGTTCGTGGACCGCGCCAAGGCCAACGGCTCCGGGCTCCTGGTGCCATGGACGCCGCAGGCCGCGGTGCTGCGGCACCCGGCAGTGGGCGCGTTCGTCACGCACTCCGGCTGGGGGGCCGTCGTCGAGGGGATGTCCGGCGGCGTGCCCATGGCGTGCCGCCCCTTCTTCGGCGACCAGCAGATGAATGCGCGTGCTGCGGCGCGCATGTGGTGCTTCGGCACCGCGTTCGGTGACGACACGCCGATGACGAGCGGTGGCGTGGCGGAGGTGGTGACGTCGCTGCTGACAGGGGCTGAAGGGGCCCGGATGAGGGCTACGGCGCGGGACCTGCAGGCCAGGGTGGTCAAGGCGTTCGGGCCCGACGGCGGATCCTTGAACAACTTCCACAAATTTGTCGAGGTTGTTTGTGCTCGTGTGTGATCCACAAAGATGACGCCGTAATGTCACCAGAGAAAGTTATACGAGGAGGTTGCAATGGAACATAGGAGATCACAAGTGATTCTTCTCGTCAGATGGAAAACTACTAGCTCGATTGTAACTGTTGGAATAAACGTGCTTGGCCTCATTGAGAACTCCAATTATTTCGGAATAAAATCTTATAAGGCAATGCCGCAGCTTGCATGCCGTGCTCCGATGACCACAACCTGTCGATACTAGAAACCGATTCTACCCATGTTGCAAATCACATCCGTATGAGGAAAACAATCCCTGAATTTTCAATTGGTTGATCGGGCGCTGAACGTGCGTTGGATGTCGCACGTAAGCCAGATACGGCACCGTCGCACACAATTTCTTTCCAACGATTTCCAATAAGCCTCAAAGTCATCCATGTTTTGCCGGTGTATGATTGTGTGAAGATTTAGTCCCACCTTACTAATTGAGATAGAGGATGATATGCTTAAATATAAAAGCTCTCTCTCCATGTGTGGAGGAAGATAAGGCAGTTTCACATGCGCGTCAGCTCGACATGCAAAGACTTTCAATCAAGTATGGTGTTGAGACGAAAAGGACAACGAGACTGTTAGAATGCAAAGCCTTCTTTGCGATCCCGTACTGGAAAAGGACAACGAGACTTTCACACAAGTCATGGTGTTGTTCCTGTTTATGGTGTTTGGTTTAATTAGTATTATATTAGTATGTTTGAGAATTATACATGGTAGTCCATGCTTTAATCATGATTTAATTATTCATATTGTGAAATTATCTTTTTTTCAACAATAATTGGGCCATTGTTTTGCAATGGATTTAAATAACTAGTGTCCACGAGATCTGTATGCAAATCGGGGGAAGCATCAGTTACACTTACAATCAAAGTGTGTCAATTGAATTTGCTAAATCTGAAGGCTACGCAAATGAATAGAGACAAATGGCAATCAACAAAAATACAAAATGAGTCACTAACTACTACATAATATACTGGCAGCGAAATTTACACGACTCAGACGAGGAGATAATATTATTATTAATCCTTTTTAAATTAATACTTTAAAAATAATCTACTCTAAAAATGTTTACAAAAGTAGCAGTCAAATTGTAATATATGTCCAAAGTCATCTAAAATAGAGCATTCCCCATACAAGCAGCTGAAGATTTACGTACGGGTACGAACATCTCAAAAGACTATAAACCAAACTCAACAGGGCAATACGCATGATGAGGTTGACGAATACAGTTGAGTTCCATAATACCTAGGCGCATGACTGAAAAGCTAGCCGGAACAACAATATGCCAACACGCAACAAAAGTTGTATCCGTTGAGATGGGGGAGCCAGCAGGAGGAGTGCCGGCCGCTCACGACTCACGAGAACGAGAGGCCAGATCCACGGAGCTTCTCTTCCATGACGGCGTCCAGACGTCCGGCCATCTCTGGCGCCATGTGGTTGGCCCAATCTCCTGCTTCGCCCCTCCTGAAGTAGGAGTCATTAGCGAAGGTGCCTTCCAGCACCATTCCGACGGGAGACGCCGACGACGAGCCTGCTGGCCTGTTGACGTCGAGGTTTATCATCTTCTCGAAGCTGCACAGCGTCACGATGTCCGTGACGACCCCAGCCGCCTCCTCATCCTCCGAGAACGGATGCCCGACGAACTGGGCAAGCTTCCTGGTGCCGCCGGCTGGGTCGCGCCGCATGTGCTCGGACCTCAGGAACAGCACCGTCTCCGGGCTCGCCTTGCTGGCATTCCAGTACCCGAGGACATGGTCCAAGATGGGGCCGCTCAAACCGCTGCCGTCGCAGGGCTCGAAGCCTCGAACACGTCGAGGAACGACAGGCTGGGTTGCATTCTCCTGCCGAAGTGCCACATAGAAACCACCATATCCTTGGGATCCCTGCATATGTAGACGATCTTGCAGCAGTCGGGGTTGGCGGCGATGGAGGCGGGCAGGAGCGCGTGGTGCATGTGCGTGGCCATGAGCCTCGGCGACGGCAGCGCGTCCACCCGGCTCCCCCACCCCGTGGCGAACAGCTTCTCCATGAACGGCACGCAGTCGTGCGGGTTGAGGCGGAGGAGCGGGTGCGCCGCGTCGTGCGCCGCGCCATGGTGGCGAACGCCAGCGCCTTGAGCCACGTGGTGCCGCACTTGGGCGCGCTCGCGAGCACCACGTCGCCCCGGCGCGGCGCGAACAGCCCGCACTGCACGGCCATGATACCCGGCACCCACGGCGCCAGCAGCCCAGCACCCAGGTGCTCTGGTAGCAGCGCAGCCGCAGCTTCGGGTTGCTCGGGAGCGCGGAGGCCAAGCTCTCGTACTCCTTCACTCGGGGATAATTCTTCTCGGCGTCCGCGCCGGCGTCGCCGGTGCCGGCGTTGTTGAATGGCAACGGCACTGGCCCGGTAACCTTAAGCACGATGGTGCTAGCCATGGTACGTACAGTACGTAGCAGGCTGCTGCTAAAGCGCCCCGCTAAGGAGAGCAGAATCGTGATATGGTTTCCCGCAGCGTATCAGCGTCTGGAATGGTCAGCGTGTTCTCTGCTGATTGTTGTGCGACTGATTAAAATTGTGCGAACGATCAGACATCTCCGTAACATTCTCTTTTAGAAAAAAATCATTTCCGCATGATTTCTTTATTGGCTGGTCTCGTGTGCGCGCCGTTGTTTCAGTTTTCACGAGGTCCAGCGTTTGCAATGATGGTAGTCAAATAAAATATACTTTTGTAAGCTAGATGATATGTATGTAAAAGTTAGATTTATAAGTTAGATTAGTAAACTTATATGTACAAGTCTCATTGATAACTTATATAATAATAATTGGTTTGTATAACTTAGAAGTTAGATTAACAAACTTATACTTTCAAGTCAACATTGATAACTTATATTACAATAACTTATTCAAGTCAACATTGATCTTATATTATAATAACTTATCTGTTTAACTTAGATATATAACTTAATGAATGACTTAGATGTAAAGTTGGACGTATAAGTTATATTCAAGAATTTAGATATACAAATTAATATAATAACATATTAGCAAAAATATGAAACTATGTATGGAAATAACCATGTGGTATAACTTATAAATATGTCAAAAAAGAAAAAAAATGGTAAAAAGAAAAAAAGAAACATTCACAGGTGTAGCCATGGCATGGGACAAATCCGACCAGCATGCAATAAAAACACCCGCGTGTATGGATATTTGCATGTCACGGAATGAGGGGAATATATTTGAGGACTGAGTAAAGGAAAGGACGGAAATGAACGGCATGGAAAAGGGAAGGTACGAGTCTGCGCAGTAGTGGTCTATCGTTCGCCGTGGTAGAATTGGGTGAATGACCGCTGAAATGGAATTGGGGTCTTGTTCGCCTCATCATATAAAACACACTGGTGCAGATAGAATTAACTTATAACTTATGTCAAAACTTAGAAATATAAAAGTTAGATGAACAAAGTTATATGTATAAAGTCAGCATGGATAACTTATACGATAATAACTTGCTTGTATAACTTAAATATCTAACTTGATAAATGACTTAGATGCAAAGTTAGACGTATATGTTATATTCAAGAACTTAGATATATAAATTAATATTATAACATATTAGCATAAATATAAAAACTGTGTACTTACTAAGTAACTTGTATAAAAATAAAAAAGAGAAGAGAAAAAAACCAAAAAAATTAAAACCATAATATGATATATTAATGCACGGCATGTCCTCGTACGTAAGTACTAGCTATAGGATGGCTCGCTCAAACGACTCCGTCTCTATGCGCCGACGGCCAATACTTCGCTGAATGCGTAACTAATAAGCGAAGATTGGCCCGTCTCGCACGTGACCCACTGATCGTTCGCTGAGTTGGAGACGCGCGAGCGACCGTGGTAATGGAATTGTGGTATTGGCGTGGTTGCTGGATGGAGGAGACGGATGGGTGCCAGTCAGAGTCGTCATATCTATCCTTTCCATGTTTGGGGACGAATTGCTAAGCGTGCAGCTTTCATGACCGGCCCATTTCTGCTTTGCTCGCTCTCTTACTCGCAGCCCAGATAACCTCTTTCCCTCGTGCGCTTTCGGTCTCGGTGCTTTCTTCCTCCATGTTCTTGTCAATTCACTCCACGGCCCAGCCAAGAGGCTTTTCCCGGTCGATAATGCTCTAACTCGGGTGTCCGTATTTGCTCCCCATTCCCACAACCGTGCTCCATCATGCGCCGTGCACTCCATCTCCTCCCCCACCCCACCCTCACCCACACACCCACCGCTGCGGCCATCCACCACGCCGTCGCTGCCCTGCCAGCTGGCTCCGATGAGGTACGTGTTGTCGACAGTGGCGAGCGTGCCGGAGCATCCCATGGTGTTTGGGTCGGCCTGGAAGATGGCATCCCTCTCGGGGGCCTCGTCGTTGGCACTCCAGCGCCTCCGCTAGGATGGCCTTCATCCACTCCCTGTCCTCCTCGCCAACCTACCGTAGTTCCCCACTCGGTAGGCCAAGGCCGTGCGACGAACACTGTGTTTCAGGCGTTTCAGATTTTTGTTTCAAGTGTTTAATCTGGATGTTGCAAAAGCAGATCTGAATGTTGCGTATGTTTTCAAGCGTTTTAGCTGTTTCATACTTTTGTTTCAAGCATTTCATCTAGATGTTGTAAAAGTAGATATGGACGTTGCATATGTTACAATGACAAAATACGCATGTTGCAAGCCTATGTTTCAACTGTTTTGGGTCTTTCATACGTATGTTGCAAATATTTCATCTGTATGTTTCAAAAGTCAATCTTGGTGTTGTACATGTTGTAAATGGCTATACACACATGTTTTAAGTGATTCATCTGTCTTCAGACGTATGTTGCAGTTGTTTCATATGGACGTTTTAAAAGTAGATCAGGTGTTGCACATGTTGCAATAGCGTCGGTGGCCTACGCCTTCCTCGCGCGGCGTGCCTCTTCCTCTCCTCTCCTCTCCCTTCCCTCCCCTCCCTTCCCTCCATCTCATTGTGGCAGTTCAAGCTCGACCGACAAGCGCGCGGAGTTGCAGACGTTGGGTAGACACAGCAATAGGCATGGGTCGGGCGAGCAGGCGCAGCAAGCACGAGTAGGCTGTGGGACATAGTCCCCAGATACCCCGCATCATGCAGGACGCGGTTGATTATTTTCCTTACTCGGATCCAACTACAACGGCTATAATCTACTACAAAGCCTTCCACTCGGAAGCATATTCGGCACGTTCAGCTGGCTGGTGGCCGGCTGGCTGGCTGGCCAGCCCACTCACGAAATCACTGTCTATGTGAACAGTGTTTTCAGACAGAACAGTATTGTTCCCTCACAATAATTAGCCGGAACAATATTTTAGCTTGTTTTTCAGTCCTGCCGAACAGCCCCATTACTCGGCGGTCGTCCTGGTTGCCACGAAGGGCGCGCGTATTCAAGTCGGACCAACATGGAACAGCTGAAACTTTATCGGTTCGACTACATGCTACTCGGCATGGGATGCCGCCCTCGGACTTGGCTCTCAGACTTTGACCGACTAAATCAAGATACTTGCATATACACATGCATGTGCACATCCACCCAGCATGCATCACGTACATACGGCATGTACTCGGTGCTCGTAGCATCTCGGATTATCACAGAACTGCAGTGTTATCACGAGTTCACGACGGCGGCATCCCTCGGCAACTTGCGACGACACCTAGCGTTGCGGCGAGCCGCGACGGCTCCAGGCGTTCAGCATTTCAACAAGACACCGCATCAACGAAGTCATGCAAACGTCAAAAGCCATGCTGTGTCATCACGTGCGACTAGCACGGGCAGTTCTACGAAGCCGATGCGTGCAGCTTTCACCTCGCCGACTACAACGTCAGCATCTCGCTCGTCTTCTACTGTTCCTCCGGCATGTATACGGACAGAACGAGATTGTTTGGATCAGACTCCAACATGAGGTCAACGCCAAGGAGCATGTTCTACAGCAACATGCAAGATGACGACAAGCTAGCAAGCTATTGGGAGACTTCAATCGTACATACATACACGCTTCTACTACAGGCGTACATGTATATGCTCATCCATCTACTCGGATATCCCGCCACTAAGCTCGGGGGCTCGGCAATTATCACAGTTTACTCGGCTTTACTCCAACTACGCTCAGGGGCTCGGATTCAAGGATGGAAGACCAAATTTACAAGCATTCAACCACTCGGCGACAAGCGATCATTGATCATTGTCTCCGGGGAGTTACTCTGCTGCACCCTTAGTCGACTCCGAGTAGTTGGCTTTAGGCTCGGGGGCTGCGGGATACATATCCTCAAAGGATGCTTTCAAATTTCTTCGAAAAGGAATTGCGGACAAGACCCTCCATCAACTCTTTGTTCCAAATAGCAAGAGGTTCGGGGGCTACTCTTAGTGATTGCACTTTTCCGAAAAGTGCACACCACTCGAAGATTTCAGGAAGCACTACATGGTTTTTCTCAGAAAGCACTCGGACGAAGCTTATTTCTACTCGGCAAGACCTGGAGAAACAAGAAGGCTTCCAAGATCAACCATACATTGCTTAGGAACTTGTGGGACATAGTCCCCGGGTAGCCCGTAAGGAAGGGAGAAGATCTAGTCCAGCTAGGAATTCTCCGCATGTAATACTAGTAACATTACTATCCTGTAATTCTACTATGATTCTTACATTGTAACCGACCATGAGACTTGCCTCCTGGGCTATATAAAGGAGGGCAGGGCTCCCTATATCGGCTGGCCATGACACACAATCATACAATCAATCCAACGTAAAAGGCTACACGTCGACTGAACGTAAAGGCTATTACTCGACAAGAGGGTCCGAACCAGTATAAATTGTTCGTCTCTTTGTGTTTACTGTCGAGTTCTGCGTATGCCGAAGCCCTTCGAACATCATCCCAGGTAACCCCGTGACGAGTTACCGGTCATCAAACAACGATACAGGCACAACAGCTTTCGCAGGAGACGGGGCAGGTGCGGGCGTCCGGACAGGGCCTAGAGTCCAGACGCCCGGGCGCTAGCCATACCGTTTCCTATGAGCTATTTGGATGGAAGACAGACAGAATCATGTTAAACTACATGCCTTAGTTTTTTTGAAGACACCATTAGATGAATGGCTAGCAAACAGATTTTTGCAACAGGTTTGGCTTAATACCATTGAAAAAAATAATACCTGAAAAAAATCTAGTCTGTGACTAGACCTTAGCCAGGCAGCCTAAATAGCGAACGATCATTGGAATTGAAGCCAGCGAACAAATTTCCAACATGCTTTTATTTTCTTTTTTGGAGAAAAAAAAATATTCCACCTGTTTGCTGTTCTGGACGGTGCAAGTGCGCTCAGTCATTATCTTTTGGGTTCTCGGCTGCGCACGCACTCACCCCTGCATGCTGACGTCAGCACTCGTATAGTAAAAAAAACAAAAATATTTATTTCAAATTGATATAACTTCTAAACGTTGTATCTGTTTTTAATTCCGTCTGCACCGGTGTATTCTACGCGACGATATGAAGAATTTTTTTAATAGCAATTATGTTTTGAAGAATTTTTTTCTCGTAGCAAGTTATGTGTACTGACTTATAACATATAACTTATAACATATAATTTATAACATATAACTTATGCGAAAAACTTAAAAACTCAAGAGTTATGAAAATACAACTTATTTACAAAGAGTTATTAAATACAAAAGAACGAATTAACTTATAACTTGTGTCAAAACTTGCAAACACAAAAGCTATTAACTCATAAAGGAACAAATTAACTTATAACTTTTACCAAAACTTAGAAACACAAAAGTTATCGAACACAACTTGTGTACATAAGTTACTTAATACAACTTGTGTACATAAGTTATTCTATACAACTTGTGTACATATGTTATTCGATATAACTTGTGTGCATAAGTTGTAAGTCGTAAGTGGTACGTTCTAATAAATTAATATACATAAATTGTTACTAAAAAATTCTTCAAAACATATGCGAGTGTGATCTAGTTTTGTTTACTTCGTCGCGTAGAACACACCGATACAGACAGAATTAAAAATGAATACACCATTTAGAAGTATAGCATTTTGAAATAAATATATTATTTTTTAAAAGTGACGTCTAGGCAGCTAGAGACTGTGCGGGCGCGTGCAGCTTTGCCGGTCAGATCGTTCGCTGGGCTAAAATCCAATGAACGATCGCCAGAATGAATCTGGGGACCTTAGCGGTGGAGCTCATGACGATCACACTGACACCTACCCCAAGGGGAGAGAGGGAGGATCATTTGATTTTTTTTAAACAAATCTGTTGTGTGTGGTGAGTTTTTCAATAAGGCATGTTATGTTTTATAATAGAAGATATGTATTGTTTAGGTATAAATAATTTATTTTAAAGTATATCAATAATGGTATATATGTTAGAAATCTCTCAGAAATAACAAAATCTAAGGGCTATTATTGTCGATTCAATTGGAGTTTTTATCTAGCAACGTGTGATATCTGAATTTTTAAGATTTATTTGTTTTCAAGCATGTATCATAAGAATAATAGTAAGATCGTCGAACAGAAAGTTTTTTTTAGTGATACCTGTTTAGCGACAAAACTTTTTTCATCTTACTGTTACATCTCTACACTACTGGAAAACGGCACTTTGCCGAGTGCCGGAAGCTTTGCCGAGTGTATTTTATCGGACACTCGGCAAAGACGGCTTTGCCGAGAGTTTTTTTCGGCACTCGGCAAAGATAGAGTGTTTTTTTTCGGCACGCGACAAAGATGTATTTTGACGAGTGGTATTTTTCGGCACTCGGCAAAATGCGTCTTTGCCGAGTGCCTTTTTTCTGGCACTCGGCAAAGATATATTTTGCCGAGTGCCATTTTTTGGCACTCGGAAAAATGCGTCTTTGCCGAGTGCCTTTTTTGGCACTCGGCAAAGAGGCATTTTGCCGTGTGCATTTTTTTTTGGCCCTCGGCAAATCATTTTTTCAAAGCAATTTTTAAGGCCCTAAATGAATTCAAATGAAAAACTTTTCAACTACAAAGTTGTATAACTTCTCAAGATCTACAAAGTTTATTTTGATCATTTCTTCATTTGACAAAGCGACAATAACGTTGTTCATAAAATCTACATCTCTCTCATATCTCTCATATTAGTTTCATGAAAGTCGAAGAGAGATATATAAGATTTGTGAATAATGTTACTACCACTATGTCGGATGATCAAATGACCAAAATAAACTTTGTAGATCTTGAGATGTTATGAAATTTTGTAGTTGGCAACATTTTGATTTGAAATCATCTTGTCATGCAAAAATGACGTTTGAATTTAAAAATTTTAAAGTTTGAATTTTTCAAAAGACCTCGGATGAAAAAACTTCCTAAATGAAAATTGTAGATCTCCAAAAGTTATAAAACTATGTAGTTGACAACTTTTTGATTTGAAATCATCTTATCATGCAAAACTACGTTTGAATCTCTAAAATTTAAAATTCGAATTTTTCAAACGACATCGGATGGAAAAACTTCCTAAATGAAAATTGTAGATCTCCAAAAGTTATGAAACTATGTAGTTGACAACCTTTTGATTTGAAATCATCTTATCACGCAAAACTACGTTTGAATCTCTCAAATTTAAAATTCGAATTTTTCAAACGACATCGGATGGAAAAACTTCCTAAATGAAAATTGTAGATCTCCAAAAGTTATGAAACTATGTAGTTGACAACCTTTTGATTTGAAATCATCTTATCACGCAAAACTACGTTTGAATCTCTCAAATTTGAAATTCGAATTTTTCAAACGACCTCGGATGAAAAAACTTTCTAAATGAAAATTGTAGGTCTCGAAAAGTTATGAAACTTTGTAGTTAGCCACTTTTTAATTTGAATTCATTTATGGCCTCAAATAAGCAATTTACTCTCGATTTAGTATAATATATGAGGATAGATAATGGAATCTAGACACAAGTGACAGTGTAGTGCAGTGGTAGAGCAGCAGACACACGAGGGAGAGGTCGTGAGTTCGAATCCCGTCGGCCGCATTAACCGCGAATTTTGCTCAAAAAATACAGCGACTTCGATGGTTGGTGACGCTGGACGGACGGGCGTTGGCCGATGGCGCCCTTCCTCGAAAAAAAAATTGCTATTATTTTTGGATTTTTTTTCGTATTTTCATTTTGCCGAGTGTAAATCTTTGCCGAGTGATTTTCCGGCACTCGGCAAAGGCTTCGCCGAGTGCCCGACAAAAAACACTGGGCAAAGACTTCTTTGCCGATTAATTCTTTGTCGAGTGTCCTTTACCGAGTGCGGCACTCGGCAAAGACACTCGGCAAAGTGCGGGTTTCCAGTAGTGCTATGCCTGACATGAATCAATTAATCATCTGCGTACAAAGTTCGATTCACAAATTACAGATTTAGACATAGCCCTTGTCCTTCGTTCTCTAATTTCTATAACAAATCATCTTGCCAGCTTGAAAAAAAATCTTCAAAATTCTAAGTGACTAGTAGTGTTGTAAGTTGAAACTACAATGGATGGATGCATGGGTATAATAAGCAATGTGTGATATTTGCTTATTTTCAGAAATGTCTCTGGCGCTGAGACACAGCTAGGGAGCAAAAGTGTATGTACTAGTAGTAAGTTGTAAGTTGAAACTACACAGAATTTGGATAGAGACATTTCTAAAAATAAGCAAATAACAGAAAAGCGGTCAAAATACGCAGAATTCTGAAGCATAGATGGATGGATGGGGGCTTGGACTTTGGAGCTTTGCTGCTTGTCTTGACGGGCGCGCCAAGTTAGCACTCGGCTCATTGTTAAACAGAAAAACTCTAGACCACGTGGTCAGCAGCCAAGTCCAATTTTGCTGGATCTTTATCATAGCCTTATTTAAGCCATCTTTGGCACGGCTCATCCAAAACGACTTCACCGGTGAAGCCAAAGTCGGTAAAGCCAGAAAACTGGTTTTTCTTGACTTCTAGTTCATTTTAACCCCGGCTTACAAAACGGCTTCACACTACAGTGCCTCGATTTGCGCAAAATAGATGAAGCCGAAGCCGGCATAAGCCGTGCCAAAGAGGCCCTTAGTTCCTCCCCTTAAACTTTACTCCATGTCTCATCGAATGTTTGATACATATATATAGTATTAAATATAGATTAAAAAATAACTAATTGCACAGTTTGCGATTAATTTGCGAGACGAATCTTTTAAACCTAATTAGTCCATGATTTGACAATGTGATGCTACAGTAACACATGTGCTAATGATGGATTAATTAGGCTTAATAAATTCGTCTCGTGGATTACTGACGGATTTTATAATTTGTTTTTTATTATTATCCAAACATCCCATATGATAATCTCATGTAACACTTGATATGACACCCTAAAACTTTACCGGATTTAAACAATATCAGTAAAGTTCGGAGGAGCTTGCATGATTGGTCCACCTCACCATATTCGTTATAAACGCGCGACCACTCGCCCGGAAACCACACTGTCAGTCGGTGACAGAGCACTTGCTTCACTTCTCTGCCTCCGCGAGCGCGCCCTCGGCTTCTCATCACTTCCATGGCCGCCGCCGCCGCCGCCTCCAACTCGGTGGCTCCGTCCGGCCCCGTCCCGTTCAACGACGTCGACGATGGCACGGTCCCGGAGCACACTCCCAAGGAGGAGTTCCGCGACCTCGTGGCCTCCCTGCCGCGCAGGGAGCAGTCCATCCTGGAGCTGCGCCTGTACCAGGGCTTCTGGCTGCCGGAGCACTGGGTGCCGGGGACCATCGTGTTTCAGCGCCGCTTCGCGCCGCGCCCCGACGACGTGATCCTGGCCAGCTACCCCAAGTGTGGCACCACGTGGCTGAAGGCGCTGGCCTTCGCCACGGCGGCGCGTACGGCGTACCCGCCGGCCAGCGCGGGGCACCCGCTCCGCCGGCTCAACCCGCACGACTGCGTCCCGTTCATCGACGACATCTTCGCCACCGGGGAGGACGCGAAGCTCGACGCGCTCCCGTCGCCGCGGCTGATGAACACGCACCTGCCCTACGCCCTGCTCCCGGCGCCCGTCGTCACCGGGTGCAGGGTCGCGTACGTGTGCAGGGACCCCAAGGACATGGTGGTCTCGCTCTGGCACTTCCTCCGGCGCGCGAAGCCGGACCTCTCGTTCGCCGACACGTTCGAATCCGTCTGCGACGGCACCGTGGCGGCCGGCCCGGTGTGGGACCACGTCCTCTCCTACTGGCGCGCGAGCGTGGCGTGCCCGGACAGGGCGCTCTTCCTCTGGTACGAGGACCTGCTGCACGACCCCGCCGGCAACGTGCGGCGGCTGGCCGAGTTCATGGGGTGCCCGTTCTCGGCCGCCGAGGACGTCGCGGCCGTCGTGGACCTGTGCAGCTTCGATGAGATGAAGGCGCTGGAGGTGAACAGGCCTGGTAGCGGCACCGCGGGGAGGTACCGCGTCATGCCGCGCGACGCATTCTTCCGGAAGGGTGTCGCCGGGGACTGGGCGAACCACATGACGCCGGAGATGGCGGCGCGGCTGGACGAGATCTTCCGTGAGAAGATCCGAGGAACGGGGCTCGCCTTCCCGTGATCATTTCGAGAAGTTGACGCTTTTGGATTTGCGATTCGGTTGGCAGCTTGTGTTTGAATAAAAGTGTACGTGAGCATGGTGATCCTCTTCTCGGACCTGGAGGAATATACGGTAATGCAAACGTGGAATAAAGAAAGATTTTTTATATTGGTCACATGAGATTCGATCAAATTATTTACTGGTGGAGGCTGACTAGCGATCCATAGTTCCATTAGCACGTGGGACGATGCTGCGGCCCGGCCACTTTGCCGAGTAAGCGTCGTCGTGGCAGGACCGTATTCCCGCCTCCCGGCACGGCAAGCGGCGACCCATAGGCACGAAGCAGAAGATGAACTCACTTCGATTCGGAGTCGGTGCCTGACGCGGCTGGTACGGGCGGGCGAATGATATGGATCTGGTGGCCGCTGAATTAACAATAGCCTGCCAGGAAGGGAAGTACAAGTACCTAAGCCCAACGATCGAAATCGCCAGATCGGAGTGGGTGAAGTTTATCTTTCAGCTGCAGAAGACGTGTATCCTGGATGAACACTCAAGATCGTGGCATCCGTAGTGAATGAATAACAATATAAATCAAGATCGTTGATCGACCAAACACAAGCGGCAAGCACGGGCACGAGAGAGAGAGAGAGAGAGAGTACTGGCCTACAACACAACCTTGCATGCCCCATCGCCGCACGGTTGATCCGCCGGGCGCCCACCGGCATCAGCAGCACACGGCAACAAGGCAACTTATTACTAGGACGTACTCCTTTTTTTTTTGCGCGATTTTTTCCCTTGGCGCGGATCGCTCCGTTCGCTGGCGCGTGGTTTTTGCGCCAGTTCGTTTGGGTCACTTGCCTATTTAAACGCCACATCACAAGCAGTACTAGTATGCAACACAACACTAAGCCAGCTCCTCTTGTTCATTTGCCGTGCAACTGTCCCAATACATGGACGAGTTCTTTGCTGGATTGAATCCCAATGGTAAGTACTTGTCCTGTTTCTTTGTATCTTCGTCTCTGTTTTTTTTATGCATGCATCCATTATTTAAAGTCTAAGTGTACATGTTCTTATGCCACTCTACTAGATGACAATAAAGCGTTTGCTGCTTTGGATTTGAACTTGCCACCGGAAGATGAGGAATGGTGTTCTTATGTTCTTACTAGAATATTGACCTTAGGTTTTTCCAAGAGCAAGATTCCTAAAATAATGTTTTTATGTGTGACTGCTCGACCAAGATTCGATGAGGAGGGAGCGTGTATTTTTAACGGAAAGATAGGATGCTTTCCTCTAGTTACTTTTGAGCATGCTAAGAGGAGTAGTGTTAACCGGCCAACTGGGACAATTGAAGCGAAGCCGATAGCAACAATTACAAGAGATATAATTAGAGAATTTATGATTTCTAGTGTTCTTCCCGCTATTCGAGCTAGATGGCCACTAGAAGATGTCGACAAGTCTATCTACATTCTGCAAGATAATGCACCTTCTCATATTAGAGTAGAACATGATGATCCACAGTTCCTTGAAGCTGGTAAAGAACATGGTTTCGACATTAGGGTCATTTTTCAACCATCAAATTCACCAAATTTTGATATCGTAGATCTGGGCATATCTCATGCTATCCAAGCTATTGAAATTAAGAAAGATGCAAAAAGCTTTGATGGCCTTATTCTGAGCGTTCAATAGATACACTCTCTACAAGTACATTTTCTTTTCTAGTTGCAACTCAGTCTAATTTCATGAGTAGTAGTATATCATTATAACTGAATTTAATTTCATGAACATGCCTTTCAAAATTTCAATATTATTCTCTCGTTGGTAGCTGACGCTTTGGAGAAGCTTGGTTCATGGAGGAACAACTAGACCTCGGATTAGTAGTTGTACAATTAGACTTCTTTGGTATTTAGGCAAATATGGATGTATGCACGAGACATTTAATATTGATAGAACACATAGTACTTGTCGATAAAAGATGCTCGGCAGTCCACCGAGGGGTATCCCATGATGGTAGATTTGTCGGTGGAGGTGCGCGTGATCAGGAACCGGATGGTGACACAAGGCGCAGAGACAGCGATTTAGACAGGTCCGGGCCGTCTGATCAACGTAATACCCTACGTCATGTGTCTTCGGTGTATTGTATTGAGTATGAGATGTATGTATCTGTCGACTAGGGGACCCCCGCCTCTTCTTATATACTCTGGAGGGGCAGGGTTATAAGGAAAGTATCATATTTGGTACTATACAATAGCTTGCGGTGTACGTCGAGCAGCGCCGTGCACGTCTTGATCTTGTGGGCTGGGCCACCTCTAATGGTGCGGCCCATGTCTTGTCTTGTGGATACCGCGGACCATATCCCCACAGTACTCTATCTTTGCATCTCCTTTCTTTTTCATGTGCGCACCCCGCATTGTTACTGTTCCCTTGCCAAGGAGCCATGGCCATGGACGACTCATCCTCCGGCTCCGAGAGCCCACCTCCTCATCCTCCTTGGAGGCTCCTGCGTCTCCGACCGCGTCATCCTCCGACTCCCCCTCCGCGGCCAGCGACGTCCCGCGGCGCAGCTCGACGGACTCTGGTGGCACGACGTCCTGCGGCGTAGATCGACGGACAGCCATGACGTCCTCCGCCGTGACGTCCTGCGGCGCGATGGCCTCCATGCGTCGCTTCGTGGCCTCCATGCGCAGCGCGAGCTCTCTCTCTCTCTCTCTCTCCATAGAGATAAGCGACGGACTCTCTCTCTGATGCGCAGCGCGAGCGAAGCAAGGGACGACGGCAAGCGAGGAGGCGTAATTAAATGTATCATTGGGACTGGGCGACGCCGTGACGGGCCAGGATACGAAACGGTGGGGGTAATCCCGTCCAAAACTCTCTTCATGCGCCCAAAACGACTTCATCAGTGGAAACCACTCCACCCCCTAAAACGACATGATTTCTGAGTACGGAGGGAGTACTAGTTCAAGCCAGAAATGCGGCAACAGCTGCCTTGACGCCGTCGGTGCAGAGCAGCTCGAAGTAGAGCTGCGGGTTGGCCAGGAACGCCGCCCGCGAGATGAGAAGCCCGGCAGCACCGGGAGCCTTCATCATGGCGACCGGTGCGGCAACCGGCCAGAAGAAGTAGCACGCAGCGCACAAGGCCACGCCAGCGGCCGCGCTGAGGACGACGCCCGTGGTCAAAACCATTGTTGGGTGTGGAACTGTGGATCGAAACTGGAAACAGGATGAGCTTTTGCAAGGACGAACACAGCAGACAGTTAGGAACTGAGGATCGGGGATGACCAGCGTTGGAGACATGGGGTGCAGGGCACCGACCACTTCGACGGGCACGTCTGGAACCCGGACGCACAGTGCGCACGGGGTTGAGGCCGTGGATCCGCAGGTGCGAGAGCGTCCGTCAAAGCAAACGTGTGATAGATGAGGTGGATCTTGTGCAGCCCGTTCACGATCAGTCGACGGCCGTTGATCAGTAGCTCGTTGAAAGGAAGCTGTTACCGAAAGAACACCACATAGGCTTCGATGCGCTGTTTTTGCTGGTCTCCTGGCTCATTTGGAAGGAGTGCAACAGCCGGGTTTTTGAGAAGTTTGCTACCATGCCAGCATGGCTCCTTCCAAAGATCCTTGACGAATGCAATGCTTGGGTAGCGGCGGGGTTCAAGAGAATTGCCCCCTTGGTTGCTTCTTGGTCGCAAAATGGTTTAGTGTATTAACGCCCTTTGCTTCTTACCGCTTTTTCATTTCTCTTCAGTTTGACCTTCCGTGTTGCAAGCCGTGGCTTGCGTTCTGTAACCGTCTTGCTACCCTTTTAATGAAAAACGGGCTCAGTTGAGTGCGGCCGTGAAAAAAAAAATAGATGAGGTGGACGCCCTGCGTGAGGTTTTACCGTGCTGCGCCGGGGACTCAGTGTCGAGCATGAGGGGAGAGGCAAGATTTCACTATACGTTGAATACTACTCGCCGTGTTCTACTGTTGTCCAATGTAGAAATGTCAAGGCCGGTGGGGAAAAAAACGTTAAACAAGTTACGAATATAATTTTTTTCTTACAAGTGCTGACTTCTGAGAGAAATGATTGTGTTCCACGTTACGAAGCGATCCATCCAATAAACTACAAAATGCTATTGAGAGTCCATTCGGTTCAGTGAGCATGAATGCATGACACAAGATCAATGAACAAGCACGGGCACGCACGGACAAGCGCAACGAGGATAAGCCCAGAAGAATCATATATGGATACTGCATGCATAAGCAATTAATACCACCGCTCGTCGCTCGCTATCTTTTATTTACGATCACTAGCTCACACAGCTAGCGCTAGCTAGGAACAGGCAGCGTACGCGGCGGCGGCGGCTGCCGGGCCGGCCCTGCGGAGGATGCTAAAGTATAGCTGGGGGTTCGCCTGAAACGCCGCGCGGCAGATAAGCAGCCCGCCAGCACCGGGCGCCTTCATCATCATCCTGACCGCCGCCGCTGCAGCACCGGGCGACTTCAGCATACTGAGCACCATCGCTGCAGGGGACGCCCCGGGAAACAGGAAATGCATGCCGAGGTAGCCAAGGGCGAACAGCGCCGCGGCTCCGAGGCCACCGACGTCGTCCTCGTTCATCCTGGCGATGACCGGCCTTCAGGCTTGAACGACGTCAGGGGGGGCTAGCGGGCGTCGTAGCTTCTGGCCTTCTGCTGCATGGAGAGGAGAGCGATCTAGCGGCTGAGTGTGGATGGACAGCGCCGCGTGTCAGGCATCTATTTGTAGGCTGCAGCGGCTGATCAAGGTGGGCCAGGCGGCTGCTTGCCTTCATCGCGCTGCATTGCCTGCGTGCGCATTTGCTCCGATCCGCGTCTCGTCACGGGAAGAAGTAGCGCGCGCGACGGGGGACGAAGACGAAGAGACAACTTCACAAAGTGCGTGATGAATGCTGGGTTGAGTCGAGCGCATTGAAAAGACAAGAGAACGGTAGCGAAATATGGAAGCTGACTTGTTGCGTCTTGCGGGGCAGTGAGAAGGAGGACAAGGCTGGTCTCGTTGGAGTTTCATTTGCGTTAAATAGCATGCTACATAGGTATTTTGATGACATGGCATTGTATTTAAGAAGAAGATGAAACTCTCTTAGCACGATTACCAACTCTCTATGAGTCATGGAATTAAATGCCTATGAAACTCTAGAATTAAACTTTGCATTGAGATGTGGTGTTTCATCTAAGTTTCATTTCATTGTATATGACATGACGGTCTTGGAAACACCGCCATCAAACTCATCACTGAGACTGGCCTAAGAGGTGATCAATTTCATTAATTATTAAATGACTTTTTATAAGAGTAGTAGAAGTAATTTGCCGGTACTACTACACACTAATCCACCGTGTCCGTCTGGAAAACTATCCATCAGAGAATAGCACACCGCACGTAGTTCCAACAACGGAAGAATCCCATGTGGTTGTACAATTTCCTAGCCAATGTTTGTGTTTTTCTTTTCTTCATTTCCTTCTGACACTTGTAATAATCATCGTGTAGGTTTAACACCAATTAACATTTTTAAAGGCTACTCGAACATTTTGTAAAATCTCATTAAACATTTCCTACTCTTGGGGCATGTTAATGCGCGACGGGTCACGTTTCAGGGGAGCATGCGACCAGGAACCGTTCTTCTTCCTCGGCCATCTCTGCTCCCGCCTCGCATCTACCTCGGCCCTACACGTCCAACCCCCGCCTTCCTCGCCCACCACCTCGGCCCATGGTGTTCCCACTGACGGCCGCCTTGCCCACCGCCTGCCCTCGCCAACCACCCCGCCCTCCACTAATCTTAGTTGGAGGACGACGACAAGCGATCTCCGCCCTCGGTGCGAGCTTTTCCCAACCAGTTGTCTCCCACGGCCCGGATCAGCAGTGCCCTAACCACCTCGCTTGTCGCCCTCAACCCATCACAACAGCCGGGCCGGCCGCTGCCACCGGGGCATGTCCCCCTTCTAAGGCCGCCGGCCATGGCACCCCCTAAAATTCAGAACCCAAATTGCTATCGAGGCATCTCCCCCTTCTAAGGCTGCCGGCCATGGCACCCCCTAAAATTCGGAACCCAAATTGCTACCGGGGCCTCTTCCCCTTCTAAGGTTGCTGGCCATGGCACCCCCAGAATCCGGAACCCCTAACGCCGATGAGCTCGTCTCCGGCAACCACAGCGGAGGAAGGAAGCAATGGGCTCATGGGTGCCGTCGTGGGGGCAAGCGTTGTTCGTCAGTTGATAGATTTTGCCGCTAAAAATATGTGCATGATGGAGTAGATCTGCTGAAAAAGAATATGTAGAGCACCTTCGCCTTCTCACTACAGTTAACTAGTAGACTTGCTACAGTGATGCTCTATAAAACGATGGAGTTTGGTATTTGAAAATTGAAATTGCACTAATATACTACCTAAAAGAAAGAGTAGAATCGATCCCAAAGAGGGTTTGTATCGCAAATGTTAAACTCATCTCCTCCAAAGAGGAGATAGATTATTCGAGAGTAACTCATTATTCGAAGTATCAATTTCTTTGAAAATAAAAATACACTTAGGGATGGCAATAGGTTGGCTGCGGTGCAGGTGAAGCTAGGGCGCCGTCGCCGCGAACATGATCCATCGCGTTTGAAGTAGAACATGGCGATGTACAAACATGTCGAACAACGAAATGCAAAGTAAAAAGGAGTATAGATAGTAACAATATATGTGATATAAAATGAGCATGTTATGAAAACATATTCCATGATAAATCTAATGATACTAATTTCATATAATAAATCTTAATATTTTTTTCTAAAAATTTGGTTAAAATTTAAAAAATTTGACTTAAGATAACTTCAAGTCTATTTATTCAGGAAGAGAGATAGTAACGTACATCAGAAACTAAGGACGTTCACAGAACAAACCCACTGACTACTCGCAGTCGCAGAGCACATCAGATCACTACAACTACCACGACACTGCTCGCGAAAACGCATAACACACACACACACACTAACACTAGTAGAGTACTGTGTTACACGCTAAGTACATGCTACAAGCCTAACATTTGCTCCAGTCTCGTCTTCCCGGGCACACGAAGCACACGCGAAACTCGCGCAGACGAAGAGGTCGCTTCACAAAGTGTGTGAATGAATTGAGTCGAGCGCATTGAAAATGCAGAAACTTTTTTTTTCCGATCAGGCCAAAGCCTGTTTTTCATTAAGAGGATAAGAAAGTTTTAAAGTTACCACATCGACAAGATCTGGCTAAACCAAACCTGCTGACAAGACACTAGCGTTTAGGACCAACCAAATAAGTCAACGAGCTAGAGCTAGATCCTAGCAGCTACAACATATGCAAAGGATTATACGGTAGTATAATCTACGACCAGGGGTACAACAAGACAAAGCGTTGGGAATGCTTAGCCTACTCGACGCCCATCACCAAACCACAACGATCGGCGCCTCATAGGAAAGAGTACCCGCATGGCTTCCTGCTTACTAGGAGAAAGGGGGCCTTTGAACGTCTGCTAAAATTCTTCAAAGGACGCCTCATCAGGCTTCACCGTCTCGACCAAAAGCCCGGCCTTTTTCATGAGCACCTTCCTTGCCTGGGCCTCCGGCTTTGGTTCTCAAAACTTACTTTTGGCAGCTAAACGGGCACTGAAGAAGCTGAATTGTTGCTTGGCACTTGACAGTGAGAACGAGGATAAGAGGTGATTAGTTTCATTAATTATTAAATGATTTTTTAAGAGTAGTAATTTGCTGGTACTACTACCACTTCATTAATTATTAAATGATTTTTTTGAGTAGTAGTGTAGTAATTTGCCGGTACTAATACCCACAAATCCGCCGTGGTTCGCTTGAAAACTATCCATAAGAGCAAGGCTAATAAGACTTGGCTATAAGCAAGTCAAGTCATCAATAGCCAAGTTTAGATCCTGATTCATACAATAACTAGTCTTTTCCCCTACTTTAAATACTATTTTTTATTTAGATGGAAAGGGAAGAGAGGAGAATGGCATATCTATGTGAGGCATATTACCTGTAAAGTAGTCTCAGCCACCGTGTTGCGCTGATCGATGGAAGCAGCGACAAGCTCGGCACTCTCTCTCCTCCATCTCGTCCAGGCAGCTGACGTGGTGGGCGATACGCCCATTGCTGTACCTGCCCTAAGTGGGCCCCGAGAATCGCACACGGCACAAGTGGGCCCAAACAACGGAAGACTAAAATCCCATGTGCTTGTACAGTTTCCTAGCCAATGTTTCTGTTTTCTGCTTTTTTATTTTCCTTCTAATCCATGCAATAATCATCGTGTAGGTCTAACACCAATCAACATTTTGAAAGGCTACATGAACATTTTGGAAAATCTCATTAAAAATTTCCTACTCCAATAAAAAAATGTGCACGATAGATGGAGCATACCCTCCGAAAAAGAATCCGTAGAGCACCTTCGCCTTCTCACTAGAAAACACGGTAGAGTTCTGGCTTGATTCAAAGTGCCAAATTTTTTTTGAAAATAAAAATAAAAATACACTTAGGAATGGGTTGGGTGCGGAGCAGGTGAAGCAAAATTACCCAACGCCGCACCTGTTCCCACAGGTTTCTAATACACGTCTCTCTCGTGTCTTAACGGTACAATACATCATCATGATTGCACTAATAAGTATAGAAAGATAAAAGATGAATAATTAATCCTCATATCTACTAAGTATATCAGACTTCTAGCCATTTAACGCGTAAGCAATGACGGATGTAGCAAAACAGGTTAGGAGAGGCTCCTTCCATTATCCTCCATCTCTGGCCACTCCTTTTAAGTTTCCATGGATACTAAACTATAGTAGGAGGGTTTTCATGCTTGGAGTAGCGGTAGTGGGGCTTAAGCCCATCGCACCCTGGTACTACTACTAGATCTGCCCCTGCACATAAGTGTTAACTAATCATGTACATGTTTTTAAAATGGACTAAAAATTTATAACATGGATAACACCCAACTTAATTGGCAGTCCGCCCATACCCTGCCGGGCGTGGCACCCACGTCCACGGGTCTAATTGTCATCTAGAAAATATTATTAGATCTAATTCTTGCATTTGTTCTAAACAGCACAGTGATGCAAACGGACTAGGTCTCATTCTTGTATTTGTCTGAATTGGTGGTGCAAACGGATTAAAAAACACAGCCTTACATGATTCAAGGGAAAAATAAATAAATTTCAAATGAGGCTATATTTGGTATAACGCCTTCTAAAAGAACAATTTTTCTTGGTGCACTGTAACAACAAAAATGAACCACTGAAGAGAAACTAGGAGAAATCATAATGCAAACACGAAACCGTGGTGCTCCCTCTCCCACTAGCACGCTCTCCCTCTCTTCTTCTCCATCTCCGACGGGCTTAGAAGGGACCGGGGGGACCGTGACACGATGGTGGGACGTGAGATAGCGACGAGGCGGGTGGGGACCGTGACACGATGGTGGGACGTGAGATAGCGACGAGGCGGGTGGCAGGAGACGGCGGTTTAGCGGCAGGGGGCAGGGGCGAGAGGTGGGTGTGGCGAAGCCGAGGCCGGTGGGAGCGTCGCGACGGAGCTCACTGGCAACTTCCCTGTGTTTAGTGGAGGGCGGGGTCAAGGGGGCAGCGGGAGGAGGTGGGTGGTGCAGCGAGACGACGGGAGCGGCCTGCCGCCGGCGGTAGAAGCACGAGGGCTCGGGCGGTGGTGGAGGGGGCAACACGAGGAGGGAAGAGTCACGCGATTCCAAATCGTGCGAACCGTCATAGTAGAGTCCTCCAAATCAAAAATGTTTTCATCAGCCGGGCTTTATCCGTATATAAAGTCCTACAGTTTAGTACTTTGGTTTTTGCTCCACAACGTGATACCGAATCTCCCCAACGTAAATGCTTCCGATTTCCGGCCAAACTGAAAAAGTCCCGATGTTGGGCCCGAGGGGCTAAGGCATCGGCAAAACAGAAGCCCAGTCTCGCTCCCTGTGTAGCATTTCGGCCTACATTCTTGGTCAGAAAGACTGAAAGAAAACGCGAAACAATAATGCTTTACACTAAATTTTCAGTCGGTTCAGTGAGCATGGAAACATTCTCAAGCTGTCAAAAAAAAAAAAACTGAGACGATCATCACAGGGAAGATGACGGTAACGGGCGCATGTGCGTGTAAAGATCGACCAACAAGACGAGCAAGCAGCAATAAGAAGCACACATAAACATAGAATCGGCATAACATCCGTAACTGATAGGTGAATAATTCGTATGATACTGCTGCGTGCACATGCAAGCAATGTCGCGCCATCTTTTATTTAGCATACAATAAGATCATAAACGCCCGGCAGCGCTAGGCAGCAAATGCGGCGGCGGCGGCGGCAGCGCCGGCCGTGCGGAGGAGGCTGTAGTACAGCTGCGGGTTCGCAACGAACGCCGCGCGGGAGATGAGCAGCCCGCCGGCGCCGGGCGCCTTCATCATCACGACGGCAGCAGCCGGGGCCGCCACGGGCCAAAGGAAGTACGAGATCACGGCGCCCACGGCGAGCGCCGCAACGGCAACAGCTCCGCCGACGCCCTTGTCGTTCTTCGAACTCATCGCGCGACGACGGCCGGAGACACGGGAGCTAGCTAGGACTTGGAGAGAGCGCGCGATCGAGATGATGTGCTGTCTGCTGTGTGTGGTGGGGGTGGACGACGGACGGCGCGCAGTGTGATACGGGACCCGGCCGGACGCTTGTATTTGTAGGATGCAGCGGCAGGGTGGTGGGGGTGGAGCGACGCCAGGCAGCTGCATCCAACCCCGGACATTAGAAATCAAATGCCTCACAATGATGCCTGGCCCAGGCACGTTTCCCAGGGTGGGAACCAAATAGGCCCTAAAAACCTAAACCCCTCGTATGTTTAATATGTGTGATGTCTGTCAATGATTGTTGAGGGTCGTCTCTTATGTTATTGACACATCAATGCCATATGAAAGATTATTATGAGTTATTTAATAGCATATAAGGAAATTCCCTTTTTGAAAGGTTAGTCACAATGTTTTTGAATGTTTGGTGTCTAGTGAGACCAAAAATATATTTAATTTGAAAGTTCTAAGAATTGGTTTGTGAACGGACACGATGTTCATTTGTGGTCGGTGGGTTGTGCCTCGTAGAAAAATACTCCGTCTAGTTATAAATATTTTTCGGGTTGAACTTCTATGACTATCAAATCAAGTTTTAAAATTAACCAATATAATAAGTATAAGATTATAAATCTACTTTTCAAGATAAATCTTCACATAACTTATGTTTTCCAAAAACAAAATATTTCATTAACTATTGGCGTTCAAATTTTGAAAATAAACTTTTACTAGATTTGTGTTAAAAAGCATTATTTTTTTTGTGACCGGAGGAAGTATTCTTGAACAGTTATTTAACTAAAGAAGAATGTATACTTAAAAGAGGGGAAACTCATGCAACTAATGCATAGAAAATACAAGGATTCAAAAGAATGCATCAAATCTAGCGGAGACATGTATAAATATAAGAAAGAAAGAAGAGAGCATGTTAGAGGTAATAAGTGCAAAGATTGAATGGTGGATTTGGAAGAAATGTATGCAAAGAATAAAGTGCGGGCTCATGGAGAAGCAATGATTACACTTTCACGGTCTAGGTTGGAGTGTAGGCTTGGTTGAATCCGTGGTTTATTTTCTTATTTAGGGCGTATGCAAATGGTTACACCTAGTTCTAGTTAAAAGAGTATACATATCACTTATAGACTAAATTAAAATTAATTTCTTAATGGGTAACAAATGCTTGTGTGTATGTTACAAATACATCCAATTTACTCGTTTTCTATTATGGGTTAGATCTCCAACAAGACCAAGTTATATCTCTCCATCAGTCTCCACTATTGTTTCTTCAAAAGTAAGTATGATATTACATTTTCGAAAAGGCTGAGCCGATGGATTTCGAGATTGGCATACCATACCACTGAAAATAGAGCTGTTAAATCCTAAAATAACTCAGAAAATATAAGCACGCATGCCAAGTCTTAGACTCGAACCTAGGTGGGTACGTTTCACCGCAAGTAAACTAGCATGATAAGTGGTGGAGACGGGCACTCAGGTCATTGTTGTCTTTAGCGAAGCCATGAACTTTTGCATATATTCCATCATTTATATTTAACTTGTACCACTACACAAAAACCACTTGCTATATGAAAAAGTACACTTGGACATCTTGTCATGTTTTCCTTATATCCTCTTACAGAAAAATAGAATGCATTCTCTTCATTTAGATATTGTAGATAGTAGAGCTTTTATCATTGTTATCATCTTTTTTTTGTTTGAAAAACATAATGTTACTAGGTCTAAAAGTTAAATTAGATTAGGAATTCTGAAACTTACATGAATCTATTTAGAAAACCATACCATGAACGAAAATAACATGCATTTGTGACCAAGGGACTGGTTGGCCCCAAAACATTTTTTTCTTTAAGAAGCATCAAGTGGCAGGAGGGATCCACTAGTGCATATAAAATACAAAGAATCAAAAGGATGAATCATTTCTGTAGAGACATTTTTTAAAGAAAGATATACTAAGAATCAAATGAAATCTCGGATCACTACACAAGACAATGCGTAATAAGTATAACTATATTAATTATGGAATATATTTTCATTATAAGTCTATTTGAAATATTACTGTTGATATTATTTCCGGTAAGCACTTAAGATTATTTGACTCCTCGAGAAACGAAGTTTTTAGTTTTTTTTAAGGACGGAGAAGTATCTGGTATATAAAGTTATAGGGACAGAGATGAAGTTGCTAGCTTACCAGGAATAATGTTTGTAGCAGTAAGATGAGGCCAAGGAATTAATTGATATTGTTTTACAAGGATACATCATGGTGTGCCTAGTCCTCCACTTTATTCCAAATTTTGTGTCCACCTCCGGGCAAAAACATCTTATCAACAACTAAAATAAGGACTCCATAGCAATTCCTAACCTATGCGTAGACGATTAGCTAGACCTGTGACGACTGGGGGAGACGACTTGACTAGCAACGGCAACAAGAAAAGAAAAGCATCTTCTTTCACGGGGACACCGGAGGAAAAAGATGCGGAAAGAAGGTGACAGCATCTTCTTTCACGGGGACACTGATCGATGTCGCCGAGCCGGTGGCTGGGGCCGGCCGCGAGGACGCCGAAGCAACTCGCCCCAATTGGCTCATCCTGATGGGTGATGGCCCCATCTTGCCATCCAGCTTCCTTTGGCCTTTGGGAACCCATATCGGCAAAGCACAATTGATCGAACAGCTCTGCTTTAGCCGGCCGCGAGGATGCCGAAGCAACTCGCCCCAATTGGCTCATCCTGATGGGTGATGGCCCCATCTTGCCATCCAGCTTCCTTTGGCCTTTGGGAACCCATATCGGCAAAGCACAATTGATCGAACAGCTCTGCTTTAGCCGGCCGCGAGGATGCCGAAGCAACTCGCCCCAATTGGCTCATCCTGATGGGTGATGGCCCCATCTTGCCATCCAGCTTCCTTTGGCCTTTGGGAACCCATATCGGCAAAGCACAATTGATCGAACAGCTCTGCTTTAGCGTACGGACGCTCGCTTTAGTTACGAATCCACACCAAAGCAAGTGAGCACCACGCGTAGTAGTCTGATCCAACTTGTACGTACAGTGTTGCATCGTCAAGGGAAAAGAAGCACAAAAGGCCAGTCAGGGGCGGAGCCATAGAGGGTGCGCTTACCTCAAGGTACATAGGATTTTAACGTCTATGTACGTATATGGTGAAAATTTAATTATAATCACTGTTCTTTCATATTTTTGTGGGTGCACTGCACCTTATGTATGAAGGAATTTGGATGGTTTGGAGGAATGCTGGAGGAATTTGTGAGAGAAAAACACTGTTCCGAAAAAAGCGGATCAAGCCGGATTTAAAGGCATGCGAACGGGGCCATAGTGTATATAGATCTGCCCATGAGGCCGGTACACCGTGCACGTACAATACAATGTAGTAGTAGGACCAAATGCACGCACACAATACATAAAGTGATAAAACTACTACGAAATCATTACAGCAGTCACGTACGTACACAACTGATCATAGATACGGTTCGTTTCACATCACATACAACCATGCAATTGCTCGCAAAAAAAAAACCATGCATGACATCACACACACACAGACACTCTCGATCTCGTACGTACACACACACAGTCACTTAACAATGGTTACAAAAACAGTGACACATTCATAAGTCTAGAGCAGTAACATGCATGAGACAATGTCTCGTATCGTAGGATCTGTTTCCCTCACTTAGGTCCCGTTCGCTTCGCTGAAAAAACAAGTCGAAACACTCTTCTGACTGATTTGTTGGGAGAGAAAAATACTGTTCTAGCTGAAAAAATAATTTGAAAAAAACAGATTATAAGAGAAGCGAACATGACCGACTGAAGAACCGACTTGCATGCTTCACCAGTTCACCGCGCGCCGACTGAAGCACCGAAAAGAGCAGCGACCGGGGCAGCGACGAGCAAGGCCACTATTTCCGTGCAGAAGACGGTGGCGGCCACGATGGATGAAGCGGCATGCAGGATCGCGAAGTAGAGCGCCGGGGCTGCCTCGAAGGCCGCGCGCGATATCAGCCTGCCGGTGCCGCCGGGGGCCTTCATGGTGACCACGGCCAGGCACTGCGTGCAGGGAGGCAGGGGAAGACGAACACCGACCGAACGGCGCCGCCAACGTACAACAGCCCCAGCACGAAGTGGCAGGCGGCGGTCACGAGTGCCTGACCGACCCCCACGCTAGCTCCCAAGAGGGTCGGCCAGCAGAACCAGACGAGCGCCGCGACGAGCACGACCGCAGCTACGACGCCGAGCACGTACGGGAGCGCGACGGGGGCCGCGGCCTGTAGCCACCGCCACAGATCCGCCACCTTCTGCGGGATCTGGTGGGCTGCGCTCGCCACGGCGGCCCAGGCTCCGGGGAGGAAGCCCGCGACGAGCTGCCACAGGCCGTCGACGCCGGAGCTGACGGCGCCCGCGGCGTCGGTCATGCTGGTATCGAGCCACTGCCAGAGCGTCTCTGGCGGCAGGACCAACATTTGGGTGGAGCTGGCGATGGCCGCGAAGATGTGGGCGAAGAAGCCAGCGATGTGCTGCCACAGGCCGTCGAGGCCGCAAGCGATGGCGCCCGCGGCGTCGGCCATGCTGGTAGCGAGCCACTGCCAGAGCGTCTCTAGCGGCAGGACCAAGAGGTGCGCCGCGCCGGCGATGGCCGCGAAGATGTGGGCGAAGAAGCCCGTGACGTGCTGCCACAGGCCGTCGAGGCCGGAGGCGACGGCGCCCGCGGCGGCGGTGACGACAGTGACGAGCGACTGCCAGAGCACCTCCAGTGGCAGGACGAGCAGGTGGGCTGCGCCCGCGAGAGCGGCGGAAGAGGTAGGCGAGGATATCGGCGAAGAAGCTGGTCATCATCTCCCACAGGCCGAAGCTGATGCCGCCCACGTCGGCGACGCCTTGGGCGATGGTGCCAGCGGCGCCGCCATGCAGGAGCTTCCGTGCTGCCGTCTCAGTGATGGCCATGCCAGATGAAGCGCTTCGTCTCTCAAGTCACAACTGACGATTACTGAAGTGTGTGAAATGGTGCTACCAGATCTGTCTACGTGACATTCGGTTGTTTTTTTTCCCTGTTATCAACTGAATTTTTTCCATACACTTACACGGTTTTCTACCTATATTTACATTAAATTATTATTATATTTAAAATGACTTGTTCAATATAATTTAATGGACATAGTGAGGTAATTTAAGAATAACACAAATATATGCTAATTTTTTCAGAAAAAAATTACAAATTATTTCTATGGATTTCAGATATCAGATAAATATATATCAAATTGTTCACAAATATCATCAAATTGTTCACAAATTATTCACAAATTTCAGAGAAAATGCAAATATACATGTGGGATGGGCGTACACGGTACATACTACGTGTATTCCGCTTGAGCTATACACGGGCGTAGACGTGGGCGTACATGGACCAACCACGGACATACATGCGTGTATTTTGGACGACCGGGACCTGGAACGCTGGAGCACGAGCATGTGGTGGAGACCGGCAGCCCGTCTCGCGCGACCAACTGACGGAGCACAATGACAGTGCGATTTCTGATCTAGTGGCCACAAAATCGCATGTCGCAGGGGGCTAAATCAACCGACTGACTTATAGCAATTCTGAATTAAATTTATTTTTAAAAAACGGAATTGCTATAGAGCATCCGATTGTTTCTTAAAAAAAGTCACTCCTAGGCCCGGAGCGGGTTTCGTGGGATGGGTTCACTCCCCAACCTACATTCGTGGGATGCCTCACTGGCTCAAGCAAGACTATCTCCAAAGAACCTAAAATAGTAGACCTATTTCACGTTTGGGTATAGCACTGCAAGCAAAGGTTTTAATACATATTTTTTGTCTTCTCCAACAATAAGATCCAAAAGAGAACCCTTTCTACAAATTGATCTCCATAGGAGACAAGATACTCAAATTTAGGTTGTGCTTCTCCTGGCACCGAAAATTAGTCTCATCTATAGGTACTCTGTTGGAGGCCGATACAGTACTGTCGGAGACCCATTTTGCGTTTGGGTCTCCTCTAATGGATCAGCCATTGGAGACAATCTACAGTTAGTGAGTTCAGAACATTGTTAGCTCAAGTAAGGCCAGTCTCTCACTAGAGTATTGTTTTATAAGACTGTCATATTATATAAAATAAACTAAAACATAGACCAAACATCCATTCTCAATGGAAATTTTATTCTTTGGTTTTATAGACATTAATTTCATTACTCAAAGAAAGTTGGTAATCGTGCCAACTATGAAAGCCATTTCTTTTCTTCTTAAAAATATTATCATGTCATCGAAAATGCCCTTCACCTTCTCTACTGTTCCAACCATCAACCACAATCCACAACCAACAGGAGGAGCTGATGCGCGCAGAGGAGGCGGCGACCTTGGCCCCACCTCGTCTTCGTGACGTGGCTGCGCTGGGGCGTCCTCGACCAATGTCCACGGAGGAGAGACATCAACGCTGACAACGTGTTTGCGTGAGCGACTACGGCGTGGTCAACCATGGGTGTGACGATAGCTCGATGAATCATAGGCATAGCAACATAGTGACGACACATCTCAGTCATGACGGGCCAAGCGTGTCGTCGGCCCAGCTAAACCCTAGTAGGGTCATGCCTGGGCCGATGGCTCAGCCTATGGGCAGGCATGGCACGACACGATTAGCTAACAGGGTCGCGTCGACGCGACTCTTATCGACACGTCCATTTATCGCTTGAGAGGTAGCCACTAGTTACCACCTGTGCTCGCCGTGAAAGGAAATGGAAGCTAGAGTGTGGATAGATGATTGAGAATATATATGTTGAGAAGAAAATTCGGGACCATGATATTCATCCAATTGTTTAAGGAGTAGTAAAAGGAAATGAGCCTAACTTAACTTGTTGCTTTGGTGGGAGGTGTGATCATACACCTAGCTACGCCCGAGGTTTATGAGTTCTCTTCAATTTGTTCCTATTTTGTTCATAACTTTTAGGGCTCGTTCGGTTAAGTCGTTTTGACGCCAAGAATCAATCCAGCCAGCTGTGCTTATATAAATTAATTAAAGTAATGATTCTGGCCGGAATTCTTCATGGGCCTCATTCCCAAAGAAACGAACGGGGCCTTAATGAAATTTATCCTTGGTTGGTCACTTTTTAAAAAGTAGTTTGCTGACAAATTAGAATTAGATGGTGTACTCATAATTATTAGTTAGTGCAGGTAGACTTGCAAGCAATTATTCTTTGAGCAAAACTCCAAATTCAGATATTGGCTCATGGCTATGCAAAAGAGACAGCGATATCACAACGTATCTCTTCTCCATAGGCCATGGGGATGGCGGAGCATCAGGTAGCTTAAAAGCTTCCTCGTCAGCCCCAGGAAAGCACCACATCCCTAGCGATTTCACGTATAGAGGTGTTTGGTTAAATGACTTTGTGACTTGTAAGTGGCTCCACAAAGGACCAAGTTGCCTAACAATAAGGTTTTCCGCAAGTGAAAAGGGGCAATCACGATTCACGCACTAGGGCTGCGGGGGAAAGTGTCATAACTCATAACCACCCCACCAAGCATAAGTACTCCATCCATACTAAAAAATGAAGTTGTTTTGGACAGCGACACGGTCTCCAAAGCATAACTTTGACTACTTATTTTTATAAAGATATTTATCAAAAAGTTATATATGTAAATTTTTGTGAAAATATTTTTCAAGACAAATCTATACACATGGTTTTCACATTTTCAAACTCAACAACTTAAAAGTTATTCATGATTTATATTCCCAATGTTTGACCCAAGCATTGTCTAAAACGACTTTATTTTTTAGTATGGAGGGAGTATTGTATATAAGGTAACTGTTTTCTACCATAGTATTTTCTAAAAGACATAAGAGCATCTCCGAGAGCCTTTCTAAAATATATTCTCTAAATCATTATTTGGAGAGTCATTTGAGTAAAAGTCATTTTCTATATCTCTATGCTCTCCAACAGCTTTTCTATATCTTGTTCGCAGTGTAGAGAGCCATCCTCACTCTCCATCTTTGTCTAGCGAGAAATCCGGAATAGAGGATATCTATATTTGGATATCCAATTGAAGAGTGTTGGAGGGTGTTTTTTCAACAAAAACTCTATTCCTGTAATTTCAAAAAGATATAAAGAGTCTCTTGGAGATGCTCTAAAAGCTATCAAATGGTCCTCGGCCTTTATTTACATCATTGCATTGCTTAACTTGTAAGCCATCCATTTCTTATATTTTCATGTAAACAAACTTCTTTTATAGTCCCTCACCATACAACTTTTGAATTGTGTAAAACTAGATGATACCCCGCGTGTTGCTGCGGGGGGATCATAGTGTTATAAAGGGAAAGAGGATTTATGAAGCTTGAGACTTTATATGTAGCATCCACCATGATAACATAGAGAGTAGCAGCAGGATTGAGGGGAAATTCCATATAAACAATGGATAATAATGTGAAATAAAATGAGAAAATAATATCATCTTATTGGTTCTCTGTTTTTTTTAAATCATTGTACAAAGTTCATCCCCGTTTAATTACAAAACAAAAGGTGTTATGTTCAGAAATTCAGCACATGTGACATTGACATCACAATTATGTGTACTGATAGACTGGACAATAAATTGTAAGAGCTTTTGAGATACTAACTATTGGTCACACTGCCGAGTAGCAAAAATTGCATCGGTCTCATTTTCTGCCCTCACTGGGTCCACAGTGGGATACGGAGAGATAAGTGCTAGATCATTGTCAGAGAGCGCTAGTGCTATTTCAAGCTTCTCTCGCCATGTGTTATAATTGCTCTCATTGAGAGGCGGAATGGACGAGATAAACGTCATTGGGTTATATCCTGAAAACAACGTCAGAGAAAGTGAGAAACATTTGACATAATAATTGCATGCCATAATTCAACGTTGGTCAAATTTAAAACATACAATATGCTTCTACATTAACTCTATATCACCGTTGGGCAGAAATAGAACTAATCCATAAAACTCATAAATTAAAAATTTATAATATTGCTATCAACAACTTTGGTCAGAAAATAGCAATATCGTAAATACAACGTTCTTCTACATTAATTCTATATCATCGTTGGGCAGAAATGGAATTAATGCATGGAAAATTACTCATGAATAAACTTATAATATTGTTATCATCAACGTTGGTCAGAAAATAATAATACTATAATTTAACTTAAACGAAAAATGACTACTCCTCCAACTAAATTTTTTCCGTTGGTTCCAATTTAATTAGAGGATCATAAACATCATCTTTGCAGTGAAAACATGAAAATAATCTTAAAATAATATTATTTAGAAGCATTTTAAATTACTTATCTACTCTCTGAACAAATTTTCTCGTTAGTTCAAATTTGTGCAAAGATAGAACATGAAAATTTTACAAAATTCATCAAAAATGCTTTTGGAAAATAATAAAACTAAACTGACTCAAACTTTTCATTTTGGTCCAGCATCAAAATCGTCCCACGGCCCAGCCTCACGTGCGCCACGCTCGGCCCGCGGCCTAGCTGCGAAAAATGGCCTGGCCCAGCCGCACGAGCGCCACTCCCTGCGCCCAGGCCGCAATCTGGGCCTG